GTTGAATGTTGTAAAAATTCTTCTCATGCTTCTTCAAACATGTTTTTGTGTGTGATATTGTATGAAACTGTATGAAGGCCTAATTGTATTCCGTCATGTTTTCCCCATGTTTCGGGAACTTAAGTTATTTAATGGGTTATTAAGGGCGTATAATAAGGCATTCGATAATGTTAAACCTTTTCTAGTCCAATCTCACATTGCAATTTTTATTTTGATAGAAAACAGTATAAAATGTATTATAACACCAAGATGGGCATTAGCAGAATGTATGTTTAAGAACTTAAGCAGCAAATTCAAAATCGAAGTATCGTATTTAAGCAGGAAACTGAAGTGTAACCAAGAAAAATAGATTCATAAAAAGCCGGTTATCATCTGCATGGCGCGTTGTTCATGGTACAGCTTGTTCTCTAACTAAACAATCTCCGACAGTAAAAACTTTAAAACAATTCCTGAAGAGAGGAGCTAACCAGCGTAGACAATCTCAAATCTCAATTTAAAAAAGTCGCGCCAAAAAATCATGCATCCGATCAAAACTTTCGCACATTTTGCATGTCTTTGAGATGGAAAAATATTTTACGAGTTTGTCAAACAAATGAAACATTGGCACGGAGAGATAAACCGAACAAGGCATGTGTATAGACTTGATACATGAACGCACAGCGGTTAAACAAGTGAAATTATATGAAAATTCAATGGAAAGACATCGAAAAGAGGCCACGTTTTTGACACGAATTATAAAAAGAAGACTATATTATCCGCATTTCATCGTGTACAGGTTGGCTGAGCCCGCGGGAGACCGTAATTACTGACGAACACGGTCAGGAAGAAGACGACAGGACATGACATCCAAAAATTGGATTGATGGGAGAAACACGCTCTTGTGTAACACATCGCCCCAAATAATGAGAAGATATCAGACGGAAGATGTAAGCCTAATTTGTATCCGAACGCAGGAGGCATGCTCAATATCTTGCCTTTTACCTTAACACGCGGTGTCACTTTGGAAATTGTAATTTGGAAATTGCCCGCGTCCAAATTAATTTCAATTTTAAATTTGCACGTTTGTGCACTTACGAGAGCGAGCATGTAAATTATTCTCGCTGTTGCAAATGTTATTCCACTGGAGTGCATCTTATATGAGCATAACGATTATTAAAGATGAAAAATAACATTTGAAAAACATTTTAAAAACCGGATTTGTTGCTACTAAATAGTGCAGCTGTTGAATCAAATCAAATTGACTATAATTACGGTCACACAACAGGCTATAGCGTTCACTTTGTTGGGTGTTGTCAATAAGAAAACTACTTTTTATCTTATGTTCGGTACAGTGAAAGCGGCAATTCAGGGGTGTTGAGGGCGGCATAAACCTCAAGTCCTCAACTATAAATGAGACGAACATATTTCGCCAGAATTGCACCTGCATTTTACGTCTTGCAAGTTTGCCCCTATTGAACGTCATACCGTCATTCCACGCAGTTGCCATCTAAAAGATGTTTCCCCCGTGTTTCTTCCGAGTTTCACTTCGAAAATATATCATTTTGGTTTGCTGTAACAAAAGTTATTCGCTTTTGATGGAAACATTGAACAAAAAAACCCGCCAAGATAAGTTATGGAGTGATTACTTTGCAAATTTCCAATGATTTGCGGCCCGACAATAATTCAGACGGGTCTCTTATGCATTTCGGAGGCGTCAAAGCAACCCCCCATTCCCAACCTTTTTTTATGAGGTTGCAGACGCCCTCAAGAAAAAAGAAACATAAACCCCCTTTTTTTGTTAAAATAAATCTCACAAAATTAATGAACATTCGATGAGACAAAAAAAGTCGGATTTGTAGAGGAGCACGGGAAAGCAGTTTGCGTCATGTGATTTAATCACAGAGCGTACATGATTTAAACGAAGATGTTTGGTGCAAGCTGCAGACAGAGAGGCTATCTTTGGCTTTAATTGCTGTCACTGAATGCTGATGCTGAACGCATTCATTACAGTTTCATTACTGTCAATAATTCACGGTATTCACAGACACGAGTTCTTTGACGAATGTTATAATTAATGAGTTAGATCATCGGTGGCACAGCGGTATCCCGACAGAAACCCGTTCATGCATGATGCAAATAAAACTTCATCCAGGATAAAGACAATGTATCCACAATAATAGGGTCACACAAACTATGATTGAACATACTCAACAATTATTGTAGATGTAATGGAATTTTGTTTTCACAATGAGGTGAGCCAGACACAATTTAGTCGCAACAACGCTACAGATGGTACTCAGTCATTACAGTAATGATAACTTCTATTTTGAAGACTTTCTTTCTACAGAAAATTCCGCTGACCCAGATTATTTCGGGCCAACTCGCGGTATTGAAATTGGAATTATGTTCCTTCCTTTATACAAAATGCAAAGCTTGTGAGCTGGAATGGAGGAAATTCATGGCTCATCTTGGCCAAGACGACACGGGAGTGTTGATGAGTAATCAGTAGTGTAAGGGTCCCTTCTCCAGGGACATCTCTCTCGGTTGTTCCTCGGTCCACTTGGGGCCCTGGAGATTCTTTCGGAGGTTGTTAATAATGTAATGGGTCGTGCAGCTATCACTCCAGCGACAAGCATGGTAACTGCCCTCAGTGACGCTCTCGTTTGATAGGGGCTAGGTAGCGCTGCGGAGCGCGGTAGGGTTGTACGTGGGCCCATGCACGTGGCTGACACACAACGTGACCGGATTACAATGACGGCAAGGGAAAAGGGAGGAAATGGAGTCGAGATATGAAAAGAAAAAGGGACATGTCATGCAGTGAGTTCAACCGTGGGTCCTAAAAACCCTCAATGGAAATCCCAGAAGAAAAATTCTTGACCCAGCCCCTTCCCCCAGATGGCCTTGCTTTTATTGATCTGTTTAAAACCTTCTAACTATTTCGTCAGGAATAGTGTTGTTTATCAATACACATCATACGGATAGCCCTTAGTAGGCCTAAACCTTAGGCCTAAACATTTTTTTCAAGCAGCATAGGTCTATGTCTTAATAGACATAGACCTATGTGAGCTGGAATCGAGCAAAACGACATTCGTATTAAGGAATTGCTTGCTTTTGTCATTAATAATTACATAGACCTGGCCAGAATATGTTGTTCATTTCGATTTTTAATTAGTTTTCTGCCAATTGTCAGTTTCTTCCTCACACAGGTTTGGGTGGCGAAATAGATCACTAAAAGCATGCTCAAAGTATTGATGGTGTGGAAACGGTCTAGCAACTTGACCAGACGGCATGTAACACCGTAGGCAGTGAAGGTCCACGTTGCTTTTTATAACCCCGGATCTTTTTCATGGCTGTAGGCCAGCGCGTCCAAGCCGACATGGTACCACTTGTGTAGCACTAGCTGGCCGCCGATCACCGATACGATATCGGTGTCGGTATCCATTGCACGCCAGTACAATAGTTCTTTTCAGTTCTTTTTATCAGTCACGCAAACACTATTCCGGGGTACAATGGGTTCAGAATCATGTAGTGTGTGTGCAAGTCTCCCTCTTTACCCGACAAGCTTCTATCCTCCACACGACAATTGAAAAATAAAGAAGAAGTCTTACTGCTGATCAATATTCGTTTAGAGAAGCCGGCTTTTTATGCCCTGCCAAAGGATAACCAATTCGGAGGTCCATGATGAGTTGTCTTCGATCAATATATAGGGGATGTATTACGGTCGTTGGTCCGGTGAACGATCATTGTGCTCTCGTGTGGTCATCATGTATCAGTCATTCCAACATCCCCGTTTTCAAAGAAAACTATACGAACATCCTACCTATCAAATTAAATAAAATCCGTTGAAAAACACCCGGCATTTTGAGATCCTCGAATAAACAACGTTTTTTGGTTTTAGAATCAGACGTGGTATATTCATCCCGTGTTGTGGTTTTTAAATCGTGATCGCAAGTCATGGTCATTGACCAATCGTATTTCCCCTTACACTATTTTCTTCATATACCTGAAACTGCTACGTGCCGGATTTTGTTGTCAAAATTACCCCACTTCTTAAACAACGGAGAAGTTTCTCTTTTAACGTAGCTTTCTCTCCTCTTTTTTTTTTTTTTGTGGAACCCACGCAGTTTGCGGGTGCCCCTGAGGATGCCTTGCGGCGTTTGGGTGGATTATCGGTCTGAGCACAGAAGGTCAATCGAAACATAAAATGCATTGAATGACAGTTTCTGTGTGAATTATTCAGTGCTTTTGTGACTTTTATAGGCTATCAAATTTGTGAAAATGTCAGCAAGCACCGATTCCACAATCGCGGGTAATTTGTATCTACAATTGCAAAGGAAATGTATATGCGTTAACATAGAACTCAATTTAAATACCAACTGAAGATGAGCCTTGAGAACACGCATAATATCACGCGGGAAAAAGCATCAAGCATCGACGGTAAGATTTCAAAGCGAATTCTCTGAAATCGTACAGGTATTAGATTTATTGACGCGATAGACCTGTTGTCACGACATTCAACTTGCATTTTCATTTCTCTGAAAGTGAACAAAAGTCTTTGGTTTGGAAATGTACATGTTTCTCACACAAAAACACAGCTGGGGAGAATCACGTTACACTGAATAAACACACTGAAGATGACTGTACATGTTGCCCCTATGAATGCAAGATGTGGTGATTACCACGTCTTCGCTTTTTGGACTGTAAGTCTGTATAGTGAGAGTTGTTTAACCTCATCTGTGGACCGGTCAAATATTATCTTTGTAATTGAACTAAATCATGACTATCAATACATTTTAAGTGTGATTTTGTTTTGTTTAATAGACATCAAAATACTTGATCATATCACACCGAAATTTCCCTACTCGTGACACCCATTGTTTATAGCATACGATTATCAAACACTCAGATTAAAATCTTTATCGGCTAATGCAGACGATAGAAATACATTCTGTTCATCTTTAAAATTTGATTAGATGCAATAAAACCAGAAAATTGTGAAAGAAACAATATTAAGACACACGTATGGATATACATGTATATGTATTTTTAATCAGGTAAAAAATAACCAAAGTGTGTGCGGCCAATGAAGCATTCCTTTTTAAGAACAAAAGAAAATGCACAAGAATTTTACACTTCTCATCAAGTTCCATAAGCACGATCAAGACAACTCTTATAAAGACGAAAGCAATAATCAGATCAGACGGTTGGTCTTAAATTCCTTGTCTTTGGCCAGAGCTTTAGGATTTCATCATTCGTAAATAGAAGCTTATAAGAGCCAAAATGAAAGAATGACTACATTAATTTTTCTGGATGAGAAGACGGATTGAATCACTGTTTCCAGGTACAATCTAAAAAAGGGCATTTTCTGGTTCACATGATTTTTTTTTAGGCATGCATCGAACGGAAGCATATTTTAACCAAGCCATACTACGAAGGTTTCCTGATTATCGATGCACTGTGATGCATGGAGTGATGGAAATGTCATATTATTTGTTTGTCCTGAATCGTTAACAAATATTGCCAGGATGTATAGACTCCATCCAAAACCTATATGGATCGATACTTCCTTTTTGAAGAAAACTAAATAACATTTTAAATTGGACGTTTTGATAACAATCTGGCTTTTCCTGGTATCGTAAAGATAACCGTTCTTTTCAATGAAAGTTGGCATCTTCATAATTTCGAATCATTAAGTTCTTTTAAAGTGGGATACCAATCGAACACAAAAGTTTTGAACTTAAAGCACTTTCCCCACAATGAAAGGAAATCTGTCACATTTGCCGCCAAGAAATACAATACAAGGACAAGCTTACAATATACATTAATTGATTTAGTTCACGAGAATCAAATATTTAATCACGATGGGGTATTTGCGTCCCCTTTGAACATTTACAGGCCTACCGACAAGCACACACATAGAGGACACAATGATTAGAATCGACTGTTTCACTTTTTTCTTCACCAACAGAAATCGATACCATCTACCTTGATACCTGCATCGGAAGAGTTATCTTGAGTTGGGATTACAACTTGGGCGCCAAGTCCACAAGTTCCGTACAACAAGGTTCAACTGTTGAAATGTGTAGCGCTCCCAAAGTTGGTCTTGTCATTACAGGTGCGCAAGGCGACATGACATTTGCAGAATCGAACAACACTTCCACATCTTGATTGCGCTAACGTCATCAGTTGTTCAAAATTTTGCGAAAAGTGGACGTTAGGTTTGGTTTACCAAGGCCACTATACCGTGGCTGTCTTGTTGTATAATTCTCCGACATGACTGACATCTCGGTGTAAGCCAATCTGCGGTATTGGGTCGTTAGGCTCTGGCAAGCGAGGCCGGCATTGCTGCTGTGATCGGATAGCGAACCGGTTAACATGTACGGGGATAGGTACGACCAGTTTAGGGTTAGGATTAGCCCCATTACGTCCACTCGTTATCCCGGCCTTCAGGCGCTTCCATTTGGCCCTCCGGTTCTGAAACCAAATCTTGACTTGGACCTCACTCAGGTGCAGGGACCTGGCGATCTGCGACCTCTCACTCAGAGTCAGGTATTTCTTGCTGTGAAATTCCTTCTCAAGTTCCAGTAGCTGGTCGCTAGTGAAGGCTGTCCTACGGCGGCGTGACTTGGAGCCAGCCCGCCCGGCGCTGCAGCCACCGTCCCCGTCACCGTCACCGGACTCAGCCTGCTCGTCGTCTGGGTCGTCTTGCAGCGGAGACTCGGTGCAATCTTCGCCATGATCACTACGGCAGTCCGTATCCAACTTACTCTCAGAATCTGAAGATAAAGTCAGGAATCAATTCAACACAAGCTCTATTCTAGTTTTTGTGTACATTATTAAAATGTGATAAAATGAAACTTAAGCTTTACTGTTTAAATTGTTCGAATTAAGCCTTAAACATGATTTTATCCAGCTGAATGCAGTTCGCACTGAACTGTGTTTTCCATGCAGCTTTTGTTGTTGAATGATTTTTTTTTTTTATCTGGGCATGATTATTATCAGAAATAACAGTGTTATTACAATATATGAACATCCATTGAATTAAATGCTTATTAAGTAATAAGTTAACTGGCAATTGCCTTGCGACAAAAAAAATCTTAAATCGGCTCTTATAATTCAGATGGGAGTGTGAGTGCATGACGCTTGACAACAAACGTCAAAATACCCAACGGACTTCCAGTTATACTGGTTTATCATTTAATAAACATAGAAGAGCATCATAATTAAAGTGCTGGACGATATTTAAAGTCAAGTTATGTGACAATCAGTTTTTATGATTATTATCTTGCAACAGGTATATCCACTCAAGTTTTGATTGACCATTTATGAGATCGTATAATGAATTCATTCAGGGCTTATAAGAGTGGATATTCATTCAGCTGGAAAGGTGACCACATTTTCAAAGCGCGCACCATTAATCATATTTAAAAATATAAATATATTTTTATATTTATAAATATATACTTTTATGTTTTAGCTATAAATTGACTCCACTAAACAGCTAAGCTAAAGCTACTGTTAGTGTTATCAGCTGAGCATCAATTCACTGTTCATAGCTTGTTGTAATTGAGCTTATAAAATATAATCATATTTTTTGTCTTTCCTTGCATGAAAATCCACAAAATGACATCATATATAATGAAACGATGAAATGAAATATGAAAATGAATAAAGCTGATGCAAACTGCTTACTGACTGGATTGACCTGAAATATAGACCATGCTGTATTTGTTTACAAATTGGATGTGATGGTCACGTGATGCTGCAACTGTCGGCAAACTGTTGCCCTATGCACTGCATGTGTTTCTCTTGAAATGTGATTGGCGTAAAAGTGGTGACAAACTTTTTAATGCAGGCCGAACAACTACAAAAAAAAGGATGCTTCAATTTTGGGGATGGGTGTCGGTTGCCCGTTGGTATGACGTCACAGGTCACATGGTCTATACAAATCAAAGAAGTTATAGAGGGCCTAACGTTATGCTCACAGCAGGACCTTTGTCAAACACGAAAAGCGTTAGGCCCTCTAACTTTTTGAAACGAAATACTCATTAGCACTACTCTGCATGATTTCCTTGAGTTTGGCCACAACAATGGCCAGCAGGTCAATAGTGATGCTTCTTGTAAAATAACGTCTCTCCACAAATACATTGAAAGTGTAGGAATGTAGCAATATAAAAATCTAATGGACTTCGAAATCGCTTTAGATATTGTTCTGTCCTTTATCATCATTTATGTTCTGCCTTAGCTCCCTCAGGCCTTATAATTAGGCTAATCCAGGGCTCAACGGCTATACCTCATGTTATGCCCATTTAAAGGTATGGCCAGCTACATGGTAACTAGTTGTATGTTTGTAAATGTCAAAGATAAATTTAGGTTACAACCAAATGAATTTGTACCCTGCTTACATAAGCTAGTTCTAAGCGTGGCATACTTGGAGTTTTTTTTCAATTAGAAACAAGGTTTATGGGGCAAAGAAAAAAAGTATACATGAAATTGAAATATAAATATCAAACCCTACGGTGTATACCCTATAATGTAGCTTCTCCGTGACGCAGGCCTGTCATTTCTAATCAACTTATTATCAACCATCATCAGATATAATGTGCTTACTACAACTACTTTTCAGAATGCAAATTACCCTCCTAGAATTTCACGGTGAATTTAGCCTCTCTTGAAATGGGGAAGCCAATATCACATTGTCTACGTCCCGGCCGCCACCCATCCCTCAGCGACAATTTTCCTTAATCATAATGTATGTGGCCTCCGAGTACTAAATGTCAACTTCGATTGGTTGCGGGCGGTGTACCGAGCAGAGGAGGCGGTCGGGCGCGTCGCGAGTCCCCATGAAGACACCACGGCGTCACACGGCCAGACGTTTACCTTAATGACATGTCGTTAATCTGATGTCTCGCATGTTAGACAGCGGTATAACACCTTCCGTGATCAGAAACCATAAAATGAAATTCAGTCGAATTTATCACCCGACCAACTTGCATATTTACTAGCACCGCTAAACGGCCCAATATGGCGTTTTCCCCCTGTATATAGGCTACTGTCTGTGCATAACGTGGGGAATTAGGTACAAGTACTCCCCAAAGAATGGTGATAACAGTAGTTTTCGTGTGTACTTGACACTTTATGGTGAGTATTTAGAACCTTATAGCCATATCAAATACGTCTGATAATGTTATTCTTCAACACTGCCGACTGTATGAAATTTTCCGTTGAACAAAAAAATTAGACTTTAGACACCGTCGTGTGTAGTGTGTTTTTAAACCGATGCTCGTTACTTATAAACCTTCATGCTAAATTGCTGGTAACATAAAATCTCAATCATTTCTAATGTATTCCCATTTTTTCGAATAACATCTCTTTACAAAAAGTAAATAGGGGGCTTTACTTGAATACTCGTAGTATAACTATAGGAAACTCGCAGGAAATTTGCACTGTATGCCGCCACATATTTTCCCTGATTGTACCCAATTTACTAGTTATTTTCACATCTTTTGTACTAGGGTACTATCATGACTGTTCTAAGGATGACAAATGTCAAGCACATTTGATTTAAACATTTATGGACAGGGATTTCGTTACTTTAGTTTAAATCGGTATACTTTCCGGAGTGTATCGAAGAAAAGAGCCCGTGGCTGTACCATAGAATTACAATGCTTTGCCATGTTTGTGAATGAACTGCGACTTACTGTAATACACGCGGTGACAATAAGTCTTCTGACCTACTATCAACACGACACTATTATCTTTGTGATATTTTCAATTTTCGACACTATTGAAATGTGTTCGACCGCAACCGTGGGTGAAAATCTGTGGTCAAAAAAGAATCGACGCAGGCATAAACTAGTATGAATGTACGTCATACGTGTTGTGACAAATCTTTGAAGTCAACATTTCAAACGATCGCATATTCTTCAGTTGCCAATATATAAGTTATAACTATTTTCCGTATTGAATACTCACCCGAAAGTGGGCTCATTTCTGCCTGGGTTAACCGGTCACTTATTATCGACGAATTAGTTTCTCGAAAATGAGCGTCTTCTCGAAGAGCTCTGCGCCAACTAGGCTCTTGATCAACATGGTGTGGTTGATATGTATCGCCGGGTAAATGGCCAACCATAGTCCGCGGTGGGTAGAAGTCCGCATGCTGACCTGACAGTGAAGTCCTTATATTGGGAATTGATGGATTTTCAGTATCTGAAATTACTGGATGTGAAGGGGAAATCAGATGTAACGGAGGGCCTCGCATGGAACCATTGTACGGCAAGTGGTGTTGAGGCGCGTGCAGGTGATGCAGGAGTCCGTTCCCGTGAGCTGGGACAACCGCCGCGCTGCCGTGTAGGTGTGCCGGCAAAAAGCTCCCGAAGCCGGTGTAGTGATGGTAGGACGGCGCGCTGCTCACGGTTGATTGAGACGGAGGAGCTGAAGCCATCAAAGAATCCACCGTGAAAGCCATCACGGCTTTAGACGGTTGCATCTTCCCCAAAGATGCCCCTCTCGATGTCTAGCTTGCGTTATTTCACTCACAGACTTGCAGAGATGACGGAAGTAATGGTGGTAGTTGACAATGAACTATCACTATTGTCATTATCTACTAGACTTGCTGCTTTAGTAACACAAACCCACATCACTGTCTCAGCCAACACAGTGTTTGTCATCATCACCGCATTTTTTCCCTGTGTGCAAATTGAGGGTAGTATAAATCAAACCGAGCTCGCTAGCAATGTCTACGCCGATTGGCTAGGCGGGACTATCTTCTCCATTTCTCCTGGGTCGCATCGTAACGACTGCCACGATTGGTCAGCGTACAAAACTAACGAGTGGCGGTATAACCTAATCATGATAACCAACAAATGACATTATCGGTCTGGCTTCTGACGCAACCACTCCCAAACTCGGATAGCGAAGTTAGGCGAACACAGCACATGTCCCAGGTCAATGAGTAGGGTAAGTTGGTTGGATGTTTGGCGGCCTGTGATTGGTTCACCGTTCTCTAATTGTCGCAGGTAAGCCACGCCACACTCATCACTTTATATTGACATTGCTTACCGCTAGTCTCAGATTAGGTCGGCGTCTGCTTTGTATGTTGAACTGAATTACAACCAAAGCCACGTAAAGTTGGAATTACGGGAACGGTTTGGGCGGAAAATAAATAGTACTTATTTTTATCAAATTAATATACCAAAAAGGCATATAGGCCTACATGTATTTTAATTCAATCTGTCAACAACAAACTGACACAGCATAACATGTATAGTCAAAATCCACTGTGAAATGCAGGTTCCACACTAATTTCAGTATTATATACATGGCCATCCTAAAGCACACACGCCTTTAAGAACATTTTGAAAAGAAATTTGTTGAACTGAAACGACTTTTCCCCCAACGGCTCGATGTTACCAAATATTACCCTAAAATTCCATCGCGCGGTATAAATTACACGCAAACAGCCAATTTCCTTGGTGTATGGTTTTGTGAACGTTTGTGTTTTACTTGTTAACGATCTGTCGAGTACAATTTCATTTAATAGACGCATTTTTGAGCCCAAATGGGCACATTCTCTCAGAAGTTCCCTTTCATTGTATACAGTACAATATTATGATTTCTTTCCGCAACTTTTGTTGGTGAGTTAGTAAGCCGTCTGAAGTGACTGTGAAGCCGTCTGAAGTAAGCGATTTCGATTAAGATGTTCAAAACACAGTGCCACATATCCAACTTTGTTGATTTTGGGAACCTATGATGAAACTCGGGGGCGGTTCTAGCTTTCAGGAAACGGGGAGGGTTGATATGAAGAGGGGAGGGGGTTGAGTCAAGGCGTGCATGAGTGATGCCCGGATTTTTTTAAACCTACGATGCTTTCTCCTGCATTCTAAGGCAATTTCAAGAACAAATTTAGGAACCTTAGCATTCCAGTTATTATTTGTGGTCCCATTTTACTACAGTCATAAGTCAGCTGCTGAACCGGGGGATGGGGGGGGGGGTGTTTCCCTCTAGATCCGCCAATGAAACTGGTTGCTGTTAAAGCAAATTGCGGTGTTATTTGATCAGATCAAAGAACAAGGCCCCTCGCCCTATGATCAGATCGTGGAGCTCCATGGAGCAAGGAACAGACAAACTTTAGTCCTACATTATGTGAAGCTGAAGTGACAATGGCGTAGATGATGACGATAATGATGACGATGGTGGAGTTAGCTATATTGTTTTCTCATTTCTTCATGCCTAAATTACCTTATATCTTGTCGATCTTTCAAAATTCGGAAGCCAACAATTCATTACCATGGGCAACACATAAATGATCTGTGGAAATTGCATGCACCGTTACTAGTGGACGTGAAGGACGATCAACTTTTTCGTAGCATCCATGCAGGAGATTTTCGAATTGCAGACAGCACAGCATATGCCGCGGACACAACGGAAATTGATCCCATTATTGTTCCGTTGATCTGGAGGTAATCAGATCTATTGTATAAGCAAAGCTCGTAGTCCTTACGGCTCTCCGAACAGGTCGTGGGCCAGGCAAAGAAAACAACCATAGATCCATAGCAGGGATCCATGGCAAAGTACTGCACATGACGAGATGGTTTGGTGGACCAAGGGGAGAGTTGTTATGTCTCGCCCGTCCCATGGGATAACCTGTCCGATCTATCCCCAGGCATTTGATGCCTCCACACATCCGTCAGCAAAGGGAAGTCATTAAGATCCAATCCCCCTCCATTTCAGATTGCGTAACTCAACTTGATTAATGATCGGCAAGGCGCTGTGTCTAGGACCAAAAGCACCTGCCCAACTCATTTACCGGCCCCGTGTGATTTGTCAGTGATCTACCCCTATCGGACCATGATGAAAGCCCCCATCGTGGCTATTTATTTATCCACGGCACGGAGAGGCCCTGTCCCGTCCGGCCCACTGCATGCCGTAAATTAAGGGGCCCTTTGAAATATATATGGGCAACGGTATCTTTCAATAACGACGGGATGATGAATTGCATCTATCTTCTGGACAGGAAACTCTTTGGGGAATCGGTACAACTTTTGAGCCATCTTCCTTGTCACACGAGGCAGTGCATTGGTGATAGGAGAATAGGCACCAAATGCGATAAAAGAAGCTGCAGCGGCAGTGCGGCCCCGCCTGTCCGATATTTTGTGTATTAATCTGACATGCATAAAACAGATGTTAGGTTCAAACATCTCTAATTTTACTGGTATAAACGGCAAACCTATAGCCTCCTGCTGTATGATGAAATTTCACCACTTTCCGAATTCCGCGTATTATACTGTCTTCCCATGGTCTTCCTAACGAATTTCTTCACATTAACTTCTTTGAAAGTGTTTTATTTTCGTTAAAAACTTTTGAAACGGAATGGAATGTGAATAGATTTTGAGGGCAATTGTGCAGACAATACAAAGACCCGTTTACTATCTCAAATAAAAAACGCGTGTAAACAAACATGTCAAACCATCATGGCTATGGTAAAACGTTCATGCTATGAGATGTCATAACTTGCCAGTTGCCGGGCATGTTTGAGTCCACGGTCTGGGGGTTTGGGTAGTCACTTCGCATTGTCCCCTGATTATTCCAGATTAGCTTCAGTTGAACGGCAGGCCGGGTTTCAATTATGTTACTGGGTAATTGGCTCTATTATCTTGTTAAAGCGATACTACGGAATGCCGAGCGAGGGCCAAACCTCGGCCCGGTCCAGGATTGAGTTACGGTGCGGTAACTGAAGGCCGCTCAACATGCTCAACGGGTGTTCCTAATTCGACGCACGTGTTGTTGGATAGATGGACAGACACCTACGGTGTGCAAAGCATGATTGAGATTGTGTTGTCAACGTGTTTTAATTTAATGTCACTTGAATGACATCACCCGTATGAAGATGTGTTTCTCATTCGAGGTGTTTGGTGAAGGTTTTACAATTATAATAAAAAGCAATTCTGCCTACATATAGGGAGACTTAACCCACTTGAAATTTAACTACATGTATGCGGAATTGCGAGAATTGTAGTGTTCTAAATTTCAAAGTAATGACTTGCTCAACAGATAATATACTCGCCTATTCAGCAACTTGACCGTGGCTTATCGAAGAAGGCTGAATCGCGACGGAGCAGCTGATGTTCCCTTCCAATCGAACGCAAGCATGGGAACATGTGGACTCGTTCAATACAGACACGACTTGGGTATTCACTCAGAAAGCTGACAAGCTATTCAAGTCTCAACAAACACACAAACAATCCCTCTTCAGACCATGAAATACACCAGGGTCTTCCACTGCCGAAAGTAAACACAAATACGAATAGTAATGTTGAACCAGGTGGTATCAGACAAGCACAAAAGTCTGCCTGCGGTGCGGTCCAGGTTAGGTGTGCTGTTCATAGCATGGCATCGCACACAGAAATGCGGCTAGATAAAGACTTTTCCGGCACAATAATCCACGTACATGGTCACTTGCCTTGACAGTAACACGGTGGCCAATTTCATACTTTTGGGAAACGACAGCAAACGCGCGTTAACGTCTGATGCACAGTGTGACTTTTTGATCATGTTTGTTGACCATGGTTTGACGTTATGTCAGGTGGTATCTTCCATAGTCAGGTGGTTGAGTTACTTCCAGATCCGAAGGGTTCGAGCAGCAAGCTCACTCCACTAAGAAGCATCTTTTGTCTTTGTTGCCAACCACTGGTGTATATGTGTTCAGATGCAGCTTTGGATCAGTATAACGAGCAACGAAAATATGTAAAAACATTGTTGCTCAACTGCGGATTTTGTTTTGTTAACGTTGCGTTCCCCTTACTCTAAAACCAACTTGAATGTTTTATTCCAACCACAAACCTCCTTTTTTTTTTTTTTTTTTTTTTTTTTACATCTGCAACTCCTCTAAAAAAAGAAGAAGCAGATCCTCATTACGAGCAGACTGGCTCCTGGTCCAAACATTATCAATGACATTGATTGTGGGGCTGGAACCAGCCTACCCCGCGAGAACGTGAATTATTGTCTCGCAGCCAATAATTCGAAAATGTGAAGTAATAATTAAATAACTTAACGTTTTTTTTTCGGTTGATGTCTCATTCAAAAGTGAGTAATTTTGTATTGCTAGAAAAATAGCAATTCAGAAAAGGAATCTCTTTGTTGGGGGATGAAACTCGAAAACAGCAGGGGGAATCATGACCTTTAATGGAAGCAAGCAGCTCCGCCCTTTTTGACCGATGACTGCTTGGCTAAACCAAACCAAATAAAGCCGACGTTGAGCAAGAATATATGCCTATTGGAGATAAAGTGTGACTTACTGAATAGAAACCGCCAATGATAACTTGTTGCAACCTATCGTGTTTTAAACTCTGTTGTGTGTGTTTCTACATAAAAAATACATTACTTTCTGATGCATAATGAAACCGTATGAATATGTTTTTCTTCAAGTCTCCATGCTTATACGTTCCTAGATCCTCCGCATATTGTGTCTTATTTGGTTATGCTTTGCGTCGAAGGACAAGAACAGGAGTAGGCCTACTGCTGGCCAAGTGAGTAAAACAATTAAACGTAATGTCATATTATCAAAGAGTTGAAGTAGAAATAGATGTTGTTTAAATCAGGGACTAGCACTGCAGGGAAGATTTGAGGATGATGCCTTAATGTTTTTAAAGGAAATAAGTAATTAATACCGTATAAAATTAATGCAATGCCTTGTAACACCTGTTAGCATTTTGTTGCGGTTATACTTCTCTCACAGTCAACTCAATAATATGGCCTTGTTTGAATTTAATCGGTGTATTTCGATTTTCTCCGTGAATGCGATGACTTAATACATCGAAATACTGATATAATTAACTTGGAAAGGGGAGGAAAGTATAATAGCGTGCATGGGGGCAACTCAGCCACGGTGATTATGGCACACGGGCAAAATAGCGTTTCTCGTTAGCAAGAAAAACACCGCCACAAACCGACGACAATCCCCGGTATAGAAAGAAGATTGGTGTTCATCTCATGGCACCAAATTCCTTGGCAAATCAGTTACACATTCAACAATGGTTGGAGCATGGAGAAAGGACTTCAATGGGTTGCCGCCAATGCCCAGGTCTGGGGGCTATCCGCCGGGCTGTCGCAGGAGGGGCAACACCTGTCTTCCGCGCGGCCCGCATTGAGTCAACCACGTCTAATTTAGAACCAGAATAATTTCCCAGACGAAAAAAAGAGAAA